GTTTCTAGTGCCACCGCCATCATGATCAACATCATGAAAAGACTTGGCGATACGGTGCCGGATACGTGAGCTGGCAATGGTTGCGCGCATGAAGAGCATTCAGCCGTTTGAACAAGGTGCGGATCATGGTTTTTTCGGAGCCGTTCGAATTGCATTGCCAGGTTGTTTTTTTGTTTGGCGCAAACAACCGTGACTTGGGATTGCTTCCTTTTTCTTTGTTTGTGTTGCGGATGTTTGCTGGCGAGTGGGGTGTCCTCAGAATTCCTCTTGTCATCACCGACTGTCTTGGCGAGACAACCGCAAAAGTCGTGGTGGACTTTGGCAATTGACGCACATTCTAGCAAATGGGATTGTTGTCATTTGTTGTCATTCAGCCCTCACAACACCACTGCAAATACGGTGGTACTGGTAATGGAATCCCACCTTTCAACACACTGCACATTCAGACACATTCACCAGACACGCGAACATCACGAACGCATGACACCACACTGTCACGGGTGTGTCATTACAATTCTTTGTGTCCGCCAATTTCAAGTCAGGCCACTTGCCAAGCAACTGACACAAGATTTTTTCCAAAAACATGCCATGAGCATGATGGCATTTCATTGTTTCAATTTCATGTTACCGTTTAAAAGCATTTCAATATCCGCAATTGTGTTCTGCTTCTATGTGATCAATTTCTCAAAAACATATTGTTCGATTAATTGCAATACAGGCCATATGTGTAATGTACGCTCCCGCTTCCACTCTGCGGGTTGTGTGAAGGCCCCACAATAATCAATCTTGACCAAGACCAACCATTCCCCTAGAAAACCCCTAGAGAGGCCCTTAGGATCTGGAGCCGAAATTTCGTGTCCCCAGATGGTCATTTCTATAATGTCCGTTTTGATTCACAAAACCCCTGGAATTTTTTCCATGGATCGCTGCTTGTGTCTTGCGCGGAAAAAAGCAGCCATTCAATTTTCGTTTTTGTTACAATATTTCATATTAATCGGTTGAATCAAGGAAATATTTTCATACAACATGCCTTTTGGAAGCATTGTAATTTTGAGGCAAATAAGCTCTCAGGTAATGCGAAATTAAAGTAAAAAAATACACGGTGAAAACGAAATTCAACCCATGATGTAGCGTCATGCCACATGTTCCAAAAAAACAGGTTTTTGTATAAATCGCGTATGAGGTACGGCACGTGCCCCGCATGCAGCCCAAAATGAACCATCATGGCAAGTTTTTCGAAAGAAATACAGATCCTTGAACAGATTGCGCATAATTTACCCACATTGTTGAAATTCACACAACAAAATGAATACTACATTTAAAAGTGCAACCCGCCAGGTATTATCATGGCACATATCACGGAAAAAATCATGTTTTGTTTATGAATCCTTTTTTTTTTCTTCAAGACTTGGCAAGAATGCGCAAACACATTTTGACTGAAAAACGCGTATAATTTCATAGCACCTTGCAAAAAACGGTGCTTAGAAATTCAAACCTTTGTGCACCATTATGGAAGGTTTTTATCCTTTTTTTGCATGGTCCAATTTGTGTAAGGATTTTGTATAAACCGAACAAGATTTTTTTGAACAGGAACAAATATATGAACGCGTTATCTGCAACATGCAGCCCATTATGTACCCAAATGCCCATTTGGTAAACCAAAGCAAAAATCACAGCATTCCACCCACCCCAGATACAATCCTAGCAAAAAACATTCAAAATACATGAGACATTTTTGATCAAGTCCTGTCAAAAAACAAAATTTAACCATGGCACATTTATGAAACAAAATACACCTTTCTTCTTAGTAACATGATTCAGACGATCAATTTGGGGCGTTTTAGACATTGCAATATCATAGAAAATATTCAGGAAAATTCGTTTTCTGCCCATTTCTCAATTCTGGCGACATATCATGTTATGCGCAATAAGTTGCAGCAGGCGATGCGAATATTTTCTATCGCGATAAGCATGTTTTTCCTCTTTCAATGACATTGCCTTTTTTTTCTTCTTCATTCATAATCGGTCCGCAATGAGTAATATTAAACGGCGCATGAACGAGAAATTCTTTGCCCAATACGATTATTTAATATGATTGGAATTACGTTACGAATATATTTTTTTTGGCTCCTTATATTGCCGAGGCAGCCGATTCGACTTGATCGGAACCATCAGAAATTATTAAAAATTATTATCAAAAATCAATTCTTATTGTATAATTTCTCATTCAGGTTGAGGAACAAAAATCATCATTTTGATATCCGAGAGTCGGAATTAAAAATCAATATACTAGAATGAATATTTATAATTCCAAAAAAAATTCATTATTTGATAATATCATAACAAAAATATTTCTAAAATTAATTCTTCAAAATAAATTCAGACCATATTAGATAAAGAAAAATCATTGGAATCTTATAATGATTCGTATTGCATCTTATTGACTACAATATGTTGAGCTTCTGAAATTATTAGAAACAAGTCTTACTTCAAAAAAAATATGACATCAAATATTCATGAGCTTGAAAATATGAAGTTTAAATTTTCAAAAATTCTACAATGATCAAATCCCATATCAAAATGATATGCTTGAAATCATCTCATATTCCCAACTATCGACGAATTTCATAAAATATATTGATTTTTTTTCGAAAATCATTCGCATATTCTTGAAAATATTCTCGCAACGGAAAAAGAAAATTCCAATTTGAATTGAAAATGATAGATATTATTTATTAAAAGAAAATTAGCCAAATTTTCTTGCCGCATTTATGAAATTGATCCATATATATATATTTGAAATCTTTTTGATTTGATAGAAAATCTAATAGATTAATTAATAGGAAAATTCATAAAGATTTGATTTATATAATAATTATAAATATATAGAAATTCTATTCACGTACAAAAATTATTCATGAAGAGTTCGCTCAATTATCGTTTCGAAAAATTGACGATAACATTTATCGTATCCCTCCAGCAAAGGGCCCAAGAACTGGCGGCGAGCCGTTCTGGCTAGATATTGAAATTGACAAAATCCCATATATTGTTATAAGAAATAGAACGGCGCATGATTATTCTATAATACTCCCATCATTTGGAAAAAATATTCAATTTTTTTTCCTAAGATCACAAAAATCATTCATGAAAATCTATTATCCTGAAACCGACTATCACAACTCGACTTAATCTAGACCCCAAGCTCTTGGAATTCCGACAGTGCATTGTGTAAGGCCATACTTCAAACCAAATTTAATTGCCAATCTAATCTCTTCCCGGAAATACCAGATGACATCTCGTACCCGCCCCCCCCACAGAAGCCGTCATCAATATATTCCGGCCAGAATAGAAGGACTATTCCAATCTCAATAGCGACTTCCTCTACGTGCCGCTTGCGGGTCAAATAAAACAAAAACCTCATGAATAAGTAATCCGCTTGCTCCCCTTGCGTCAACATACGCATATCAGCATACGTAAATCCTTCATAAATCAAGCGAAATGGGGATGCATAAAATCACGTAGCAGAACGAGAAGAAATTGGGGCATACTATCGACATTCCACGTAAGACCATCGAAGGTCATGCCCCTGCCAGATATCGAGAACAAGAAAATTAGACTTGGGCCATTATTATCGCCGCAATCTTTCAATTTCAAATCATCCATATACTTCTCCGATATATTATAAATCGATCTTGAAAGGTTTCCTTATTTTATGAAAAGAATCGATTTTCTTCCGTAATTTCTAATATATTTCAGAATCAAATTAGAAAAATTATTATCCAATATATTCCAGCTACTCATCTGAATCTTGAGAATAACGATCCTATAATCAAAGAAGATTATTTCTTCAAGAAAGTCTTAGCAAATTAGATAATTTAGAAGAATTACACTCTCATATTTCATTTTTTAATATTGAAATAAATTCAATAATAAATATTTCGTTTTTTTAATATTAAAATAGATTCAATCAATAATAAATATGTTTCTATAACAATTTCAATTCTCATAATATTTTTGAATCTACGCAAACCTAGCTATCCCAAGAATAAATATTTTCAATTCATATCCGAAGAGAAAGACCCAAATCTCTGTGTAAAGAATTCCCAATTAATATCCAAAAAACGCACAAAATTAACGAGAATGAATATATTACTATCATTACCCATTTTAGCTCAAACTACAATTCTTTTTCAATTTTAATCAATCTTCATCAACAAATTATCAAAAATAGAAAATATCTTCGAGCTGAATATTAACAAGAAATTTTTTTCATTCTTAATAGTAAACATCATACGACTTAATCCAATTCGCGAAAAACACAATAAATAAATCAAGAAGAGAAAATTTCAAAATCTAGATTAGTGTTCATAACTAGGGAAACCAAATTGCTATCATATTATACGATTTGAAGAATAATATCTAATAAGAATCTTAGAAATTCTACTTCGTAGAGCCGCGATCTGCCACGCCGCCTCCCCGATAAATCTATATCCCATCGCCGCCGCCTGCTATATATGCACCGCCACCTCCACTATTATCCATCGCCTCCAACTGCCAAATATCGCTACCACCACCGACCGCCAAATCCCACGATTATACTGCCGTATTTTCCGTAGAGACAAAATAAAACCCATATTTGATATCGCATGTTCGTCTTTCATTTCGAAGATAAATAGTCAATAGGACTACTTAATAAATTCGATTCATCGATTGTCATTTATTCTACTGATGAAATTATTTTCGTTGTATTTCATTGAAGATCGCATGAAAATATGCCAATCGTATGAATTGCCTTATTTCGTTACGCCTATTTTCCTAATAATCGATGAATCAAGATTTCATAGTAGAAATAAACCGTTCATCCAATGTTCAAGTCATTCGAATTTCAATAGAATCTCAACGAAGAATCTTGAAATCTATATCATTGATAACTTTGTCTTGCCATTGGCTTTGTCCCCCAAATAATGCGTGTCTCAACTCGGCCCCACACCCATTTTTTCCCACCATTCCAAGCAAAGGTTGTACGCGCCAGCTCCACATTTGTCGGTGTACACCTGGATTCGTTGAGTGGAAAAATATTTTTCCAACAGTCATACAGCATACCATGCCAAAAAACCAGATTTAATCTTGCCCCATGCTGAATGAAAGTTTCAAGCAGCAACAGCTGCTCAAGATCGGAAGTTAATTGTTTGCAGGTCCTAGTGGTTAGAAATTTCGAATCCAAAACGATTTCAGTTTCGAGCGTGAGATTTGCGTTTGCAGTTCAGACGCAGAGGCCCGAAGCCCGAGGAGTTGGACTTTCAAACCAGAGTCACAGCAATCAAGAACAAGAAACAAATAGTTCCAGAACAGTGCATGTGGCAAGGCAGGGTAATGTAAAGTAAAACGCTTGAAAATGCTTGGCTGGGTGCAGCTCAAGGGCTGGTAATTGAAAACGGTTCGCAAGCCAATACTTATCTACTGTTGGAATTGTTGTTGAGAAACACCTTGCATCCCATCAACAATCCGACGTCCCCAAACAGGGCTAAACTATCCACACCCCAAGACAGGCCACATGAAGAGACTGTGAAGAGACTGTCCAATTTGTTTTCATTTTGTGTTGAAACGGATCCGCCATGAGGACTCATGATCTAGAATGAGATGTTGTTCAAGCCCCAATCAACATGATTTTTACACTCCCTGTCCAAACCCTAAATCCGGAACCCATGCCTATTTTCCGAATATCTTCCCCTCAATTCTGACACAATCAGCTCCCGGGATGTGAAACACGGTTTTTTCTCTTGGTGGGGCGTTCTCGTCATCAGGATTTTGGTGCTTTAGCGTATATACAGGGGACCCCAATTTGTGGTATTTTTCTTTTTAAGTGTCGATCCCTGGCAACATGCCTGGAAGGTGACGCACTGTCCACGGACCGGCGTGAACTGGGAGCTGAGGTCTGTAGTGCGGAAGTACAGGCCGCTCCTGAAGATGAGGATGCGTACAAAATGATATGGGGTTTAGGACCGGGGTGAGGCGTATAAACGATTTGGGAATTGCGATCGCGCTTCAGGATTTGGGGCTTTCAGCTGATAATGCTGATATTGACAACAGAATGATAACAGCCGTAACATTAAAAATACAAAGCAAATTAAAGGAAATAGTAAAATGTGGACCTTGTAAGAGAACATATAGAGGATGTTTTTAAACAATTGGCTGAGCCAGCACTGCTGGTTCTTGATTCTGGTTCTTGATTCTAGGGCGCGTTTCGCTCACCTACGAGTAAACCAGCCCAAAAAGAGAAAATCACTCTCCAGTCCTTAGCACTAAACACTTTTCTTTCAGAATCTTTTATATGTTTTGAGACATTGGGACATATGTTCAAGTATCCAAAGGACGTTTGCTATGAGGGGAAATGATTCCCAGGCAAGCAACGGCCTGAAAACATTGTGGTAGATTCGCTCTCAATTCGTTCCTGCGTTTAATATCGATTCCCTCGAATACTGAGAATCCCCCAACCTTCATGCTAAATATGTGAGGTGGTTGGGGGTAGCTTAGTGTCAGGGGGCGGGGATAAATTCAGTTGCGATGGTGGAATTACCCCGTAAGTGTGACACTTGCAAGAGCCCCAGCCGGCAGCAGCTAGAACTTGACACATTAAGCAACGCAACTTTACATAATCTTTCTGGTTGAGATGTTGTTTACCGACCGTTGGGAAGAAGTTACTCCAAGGAAAGAAACTACACCATTCAAAACCTCAGGTCAGAAAGGCACGGGATTTTGACCAAAGTCTTATTGCCAAAATGGAAAGCGGGTTTCCGACTATAGTGGAATTCCTCCTTCCAAGACTGTTTGCATGTTCAATTTCAAGGCTTTGGATTTAGGATTGTTGGAGGGCATTACGGTTTAGGGAAGCCATGTATGGAGGTGATTTGTTCTTTATCTGTACCGGGCCCTCGGCTACGTTCTATGAAGCCCTATCCACAGATGGCACCACACCCTGACCTAAACTCATAGCTCGCGAGAGGTCCGTCTTAGCTAAGTCCTATGCATTTTTCGAAGGCAGCTTCCGTGCCTGGAAAATTGCAATCGTAATGCCTCTCGCAATTCACAACCGCCCGCCTACATCCCTTCACGGTCAGAAGCCCGAGCAACGCCTCATTTTGCTAAAAAGAGGCTTGTTCATGCGGACGCGCGCTTGCACAGCAGTGGGGAGTTGTTCTACCTTGAAGCTTTCCATGGATATGGTTTGAAGGCATGTTTCCTCCAAACTGGCTCAAGAGCTGAAAGGCTTCTTACCAAGGAGGTGACAGCTGAATGGTTCACAACAATGCTCGTAAACGGTAGCATTCCTGCAGAACCTTCCCAAGCTTGAAACCGGCCTCCGAAACCAGAAATCATCGAAACCAATGCCTGTGGTACTACAGCAACATCAGCAGCAGCAGCAGCACAAACCCTTGACGGCTCGCCGTGTGCACCATCCAGTGCTTTCATCGACGCTGCGAGATGAATCTTTCCAAAAAACAAAGCTTGCAAACATCAGAGACCACCTTTACAAAATTGGATGTTGTTTTGCGAGGCTTTGCAGGGAACACCCAAATCTTGATTTTGTTTGCTGGGGTCTCGTTCATCGGGAGCCTACCTATAGAATGTTGGTGGAGCAAAATCATGCATACTTCCTTTGCATGATGCCGCGCTGCCATGGGAGGTGTAGTAATAGCACCGCTGCTGATGCGTCTCTGCAATAAATTCTATTGGCGCACCTGACAGCTCTGCCGCATTGCGACACGTAATCGCAAGCTCAAACTTGGTAAGTGCCTTCAACAAGAACCTTTCCCCATTTGCTGTACTCTCCGGTTGCCGATGCAACGAAACCAATGGCATGTTGAAAAAAGAGACACGGCCCCCGAATATGGGGGAACAAATTCTTTTAGGGTGTCAGAGGGAACCATTTTCGGCAATTCCATATGAGTACTGATGACTTGTAACAACAAGATTGATGCTCTTCATCTTGCTAACCCGAAACCCTGAAACCTAAACCTATGGCCTTTAGTCATGCAGCATCCATCTGTCAGGCCACAAAGCACTTGTAGGCTGATCCGTGCACGAACATAATTGTTATTTCTGCCAAATTTCAGGCGTGTGCCAATGTCGAGAGATCCAAATCTGTAAAGGCCGGGTGCTTGAGATGGCTAAGCCTACGCCAGACCGACCAAAATGATATCCTCAGACCCCAAAAACATGGGTAAGTATTTGGGAGGTCGAGGTCCACTCCTGAAACTTAAGCCCCAACAAGGAATGTGTATGTGAACCGCGAAATGCCAAGCTACATTGCCAGGTGCCACAAATCCATAGCCATCGTCCTCTGACGGGCTTGTGATCTTTGGCTTTGAATTTAAGGATTGAAAGTTTAGGGTAATGACTTCCAAATTTAAGGTTCACTTTGCAAGGTGCAAGTTTTTGTGTCCATGTGGAAAGCCTTCTGTCGCAGATGTTCACATTCCGTGGCCAACCACAGAAAAACTCCTAACCGAATGACCTGAACCAATGCCACCACAGAAGTGGTAGAGGTACCGGTCAATTGTACTAATGCCAAACGATGGGGAACGCAGCCTGCAAGATGCGACAGTCACATATTGTGGGGTCCTGTTTCAGACAAGCAGCACTGTCTGACGCGATAGCTGTATGGACTGGTCTTGCTGTGAAACCGCGGCGCAACAATGACGGTGCAAATTGCGTACAGCTTCGGCGGTCAAATCTATTCCAAGAATCCTTTTTTGCTTGTCAACCTTTTCGCCGCGTAGCGGGGCTTTGTACATGGTACTGCTAGCACCACCTGTGCAAGGATTCGCAACACGTGAAGTGAGCAAAAGACCAGACCATGGTATCTGTATTATAGCAATCGTGAAAACAAAGTACGAGAAACATATAAACATGCTAAAAACAAAATATTCATGATAACAACAATACGAATATCAGATGAATGGAGGACATAGCAGTAACAATAATAAAACCACTATGAAATAGATAATCTGAGCTCCCGCCCCAGACCGGACTCCTACTCAGCATGTGGATGCTAATGTTGATATGGGCGAAAAACTGCGTGGATCCAGCCGTGCCGCCAAATGCTATATACGTCAGTTGTGGCACGCATGCCAGGAACTTTTTGAAGCTGTCCTTCCGGTAAAACAGTATCTTCCCATGGTAGTAGCCATCGATCTCGTGACGGTTCCTCGGCCCAGCTCCGAAGCAAAAAATGAGTTGTGGACGTAACTTGCAATTATCTTCGTATTGCATATAACCAAAGCAATTCAGCAGGGATAAGTGGATATTGAATTGAGGCTAACTCATGAGTTCTTATTCGACATACCAAATAAAGTTGCCCTGATGTAAACAAGGTCCAAGGCTGAGGTTCTGCTGAAAAGCTTAGGGCATCCAAGATTTAGGTTGGCACATTTTCCGCTTTGCAAGATTTTGCAGTGTCTTGTGCATCTTCTTGCGGGTTTTGGTTTACACGATGCTTGTGCTGGCTTACCTGGGCTTGATCTGTTTGTGCAAATGTCTGAAACTCCACACCCCTAGCCCTGAGCGGAACATCTTAAAGTTAAACCCTAAACCCGGCATCCCTACATCCTGTAGCCAATTCAATTACAAATGAGAAGTCATCTAGCGTTTAAAGTCTACCTTGCACCATTTCATCCAAGATTCTCTGACAGAAGCTTGCGTGCGTAGTACACTTCTGGGGTATCGCGGAACATCCTGCACTTGCCCCGGCCTCATTGGCTCGCATGATATGGGCATTTCCCAAACTCGGGCGATGTGCTCGGGCACTGAACTGGGCCGTGTCTCCCTGTAGGCCCAGGATGACATATTGCCCCCCCGATTGGCCGAATGCCAACCTGTCACCTCAAATGCTTCAGTGCACTTCTTCGCTTTTCGCCATGTGTTCTTCCCTTCCTTCATTTTTGCCATCCACACCCCCAATGGCTGGTGTTGATGGTTCCCGGGAGCGGAACTTTCGCAGAGGAACAAGCAGGTCTTGTATGAAACTGTACTTACAAATGTTTTTATTGAAAAATGCTATGGCATGACCAATTTCAGATTCAACAACTAATTTCTCCCCAACCAAACCGCAAGGCCAGTAACCTCACGTCAGCGCTTGCCATCCAAGCCCAAATCATAGCCAAGCCCCGAACCTTAAAGGAGGTCAGGGTAGCAGGGATCAGGCGACAAAGACTCAAATCCTTTTGAGCCCGATGCATACAACAAGGGACCTATTTGCCTCCTTGGGGTTGCTGATGAAGCCTCCCCTTACCAGTCAAGCGGCCTTTGCCTTTGCCTTTGCCTTCCCCCCTGTCGCGGAACTCGCGCGAGCTCTGAGCATGGGGAATGTCTGCCCACGATGCACATACCTTCAAGCTCAAGGCTGAAATGGGGCTCTCCAACAGTCAGGAGTCGTATTTGGGAATCTTGCCAGTAAAGATAAATATTTTTTGGGGTATGTAAGGGGGACATCTGAGGGTTAAGGTCAGGCCCGATGGTTCAACAGGTGAAAGGTTCAGTGCTCAGGATTTCTGTCTTGATTCTATTGAAAAACACCGAGACCTCTACTTGATTCTCCATAGGCTCCTAAACCGTCCCTGCAGAATTCCTTCATGTTAAGCTCAACTCTTTGGAGCCAGAAAACAATTTAGAATACTCCTGGAGGGACACTTCCTGGTTTACACTGGTTGTTAGTAGTGAATGGAGAAATGGATCGTCATAGTAGCCATCCTGAAATCCAGATTAACGTCATTTTGCTTTTCCCTTCCTTCATTCTGTATTAATAGCCAGCAGAAAGCTTGGGCTCGGAGGACGAAGTTTGGAAAATCACACATCAACTTCCCCATGGAGTTTGCTAGGTTCACTTTTTGACAAGACAAGTTGGAGGATCCAGGCGCTGCATTGTGATCCTCAAGGAAATACGGTCAACCCGCATCCGAAAATACACAAGTCCGTGCCCTTTCTTCAGCTCATGTGCTTCCAGCCTGATTTGCTCAAAAAACAAAGATGTTGTTACCCTGATTGGTACCAGACGATGCAAAGTGGCCCTTCCATTGATTGAGGTCAAACTGCTCAACTATTGAGCTGCAGGATTCAAGTGCATTGTGCATATGCCAACATCCCAAACCGGGCAACCTCAAACATCGGCGCCTAAACTTTCCAAAGCTAACCATCCGCAACACCACGCCTCTGCACCTCAAACCCTCAACCTTACATCCCGAGCCCTTCCTCCGCAAAATCTACATCCCACACCCCAAGCTGCCATAATCCCTCTCCGAGCGTACTAGGCCCGACACCCCTAATTCCGCTAAGGATCTTGGTCGTCTTGCTCTGCAACGCCGGGGGATGGACCTGCACTCGCATGCTTCATCTGGGTCTATGGTTTGTAGATCGATTTGGACTCCCCTTCAAGTCGTGCTTTCTTACACTTGAGCACGCCTTGAAAAGTGCTTCAGTAACTTTTATCCGGAGCGGGCCCTGTCAATCACCAAAACAAGCTTGCCAGCTGTGGTTCACTCTGTCGCACACGTGGAATTCTCCGGATACTGAATTAAGAAATGAGGGAGTCACCAAAACAAATAACAAAGGCGATCAAGTATGGGCCAAGACTAATTACTCATTCCAATTCGCTTAGCTGACTTTACAATTGTGGGGGTTTACTCTCAAGAATTCCCTGAAAGGACCTCCATAATCACCTCGTAATCCATGCATATTGCCAGGGTCTGCAAAAACCTGTAGTCAGGTCACGCGGAAAAATGGACGGGCCTGTACCTTCATCACCATTGGCATCAGCCTGTCCACATCGATTTGAGAGTTTCTTTCTTTTTCCTTTGCGAAAAATCATGGATCATGTGTGGAAGTACTTGTAATGGCTCAACCATTTAGAGGTACGTCAGGAGATCTCCATTTTAGGGATGACACAGGGCAGGAGATGTATCTATGATCGTTGCACATCTGCAGACTCTATATACATATATATATATGCATATATACTTGGTAAGGACTTTGCCTAGGCCAAAGCTACTCAATGTACACTCGCCGAAGCTAGAATAAACCAACATCATGCGGGTCATTGCTTTGGAGTCTTGCTTCTAGAAGCGGTCGTAGAATCTGAGGCTCATGGAGGACGCGATGCCAGTAGTTCCTGCTTCTTTTGAACGCAAAATGTAAACAAGACTTCCAGTACATCATGCTACTCTGAGGTCCAAGGCAGGGGCCCTCCATTGGGACGAGTACTCTTGCGATCCCAATGTGTACCCCGGAGATCTGGCAGTAGAATTTTGATATTTTTGACAGACCATCATTCAAAGTGTCAGGATGTATGCGATCTGATCTACCCTGTGGAGTTATATGTGGGAGTTGCTAGACAAAGAGCTTGTAAGGACTCTCAAGAATGAACCCGTAATTTTAGGAAAGCCCAGGTCTCTAGGCATGTTTGCAACGGACTCGCGCAGGCTTGTTTCAAGGGCCCAAGCACCTAATAATGAGGTACTTGTGATTAAGGAAACAGTACGTTGAGCAGAAGAAAAAAGAACCATATTGGGGGAAGCAAAACTATTGCTCAGCTTTTGGGTCCATATCATACTACGTCCTAATATTTGGTTTGCCCCAAGCAAAGGACTAGCATTTTCACAACCCTCCGTATACCTGACCATCAGATGTCACGAGGCACTTGGATTCCGAGAGCTTGATAAGCGAAGTGAAACGTTGCTGTAACCATTGTGTCTTGATATGGAAGCTGGGAATCTGTAGGGTTTATGTAAAAAGTATGGGGATTATGCATGGGGTACTTCTCCCTGGTAAGAACTCTCCCTCGTGAAAACACATCTCCCCCTCCATGTAGAATGGGCGCGAGTAGATAGGAGTCAAGCAACTTCAAGTAGCAGGAATTTGCATAAGGGCACATGCTCCGCAGCGTCAATTCTAGCATGCAAATCAGAGCTGGCGCCAGCGCAAAGGCGCACTTCAGCCCCGCATGTTTTGTCCTGCGCCATCATAGCCACGCATGAAACTCTAGTCAAGCTCCATCTTCACGGTATAGCGCCAAACGACACCCAAACAACTTCCTAAACAGCACAAGCGGATTATCTGGGGATACTATGCCCAATTGTTCTCCCTGAAGCCTGAGCACCAATAATATCATTCCCGGGGTCCCTGCCTCAAGCCATGCGGCTGCGGTACTAGCGCGCGAGGGAACTGTTGCACCTGAATGAAAGCTTCGAACATTCTTGGCCACCACTGGGAAAAGTAGGTTTCGGAGCTTCGGGCTTTCGAATCATGAAAACACTATTTTTTTTTGGATGTGCCAACTTCTGCTAAGCAATTTGCAAACGTCTAGTTCCAAGGGACCCCCGGAGCGTTGTGTTGCAAACTTCTGTAACTTTGCCATTGTCGGACATCCTTACGTGCAACATCTTTGCTGCTTGTCGTGATTCTGGCCCTTGGGTACATAAGGCTATTGCTCTAGGATCCAAACGTGTACAATGAGAATCATGCAACATGAACTACAAGAGGCATAGGTTGGATGCCTGATCCGTGTGAGCACTGAAAGTTTTATTGAGCAGGTTGGCATTAAGGCTGAATACTCTACAGAGATGATTTTGGTAACCCCAAACCTCTACAAAAAGGAGCCTGTAATATCAGGAAAGCCTTGTAAGGTCCTTATCCTAGGGTTGGGGATATCAAAATTCTCGTAGTGTAGCCAGCAATCAGTGGCCTTTTGAGTCCAAACGCTCCCAACTTAGATTGGAGACAAATGCTGTGGTTGATGCTAAAGATCCTGCATGGCCCTATGTACCTCATACCTCGGAAACTATGTTGCTATTGTATACCACAGTCATCAGGATTTGTAGCATCAACAGTAAAAGCTCATCGCCACAGCCTCCGCCGAGGATTTATACGGGCAGTTCGCAGCTGGGGGCGTCCAAGCTGGGGGATTCTGATCCTATACCTCAGAGTGCTCTATTGACCCTTCTAGGCATCCCTAAGAGGGGTCCCTAGTTTTTCAGAGACCACCATATCAGCATAAGACATTCAACCCCAAACGGTGAATTTACCGCATAACGGCGGCGGGCAAAGCCTTCAACCTTTATATCTGAGACAAGCCTTGGGCAGGTGTTTCGGCTGCTTCTGCCGCGGTCTCTTCCGCAGCCTGTGCTGAGCAAGAGACTATGCGGTAACTTAGGGTCC